CCCCGTATTTACTTTCCCTTCCTTCTTTCTCTGCATTCGTCATCACCAAACACGCTTTTAAGCACAAACACACAATTCCAATCCTTCCTCCACCCTTCCATCCTTCCCTCTCTTTTCTCTGCAGACCATCCTGCCAGAGCTGTAATGTCATCCCACTTCTCTCTCTCTACAATCTGGCTCCTGTCAGAAGCGTTTTGCCTGTGACCAAACGCTCAACCTTCTGCTGAACATTGTTTGAAGGAGCGTCCTTTAATCCAGCGTACGTTCAGCGAACGCAGCCTTCAAGAAATAATGACTTTAGCATGTGTGACTGCACTGGAAAAGGTGTGTGTGTGTGTGTCCAAGTCACCTGGTACTCATTTACACTGTGTTCTCGATGGGTAAATCAATACAAGGCCGTAACGATTCGTGGGTTCGCAAGAGAAATTAGCAGGTGGTGAGTTAAAGATAAATAAACATAAATAGCAAAAAGAAGAAAAAAGAAACAAATTAAGTTTAAAAAAATATCTTTGACTCAATGAAAAATATATAAAAAATGATTAAAAGATAGACTATGTTCAACGTGGGTCCAAAAATAAGCCAAATATTTGTTTTAAATTGATTAAACCTGTAGTATTTCCTGGTATTTTTATTTATTTTTTTGCCTGTTTTTAGTCAGTTTCTGGTGCTTTTTGTTTATTTTAGGTTTTGTGTTTTCTTTTGATTTTCTATCTGAATGGTTTACATGGATTATTTTGTTATTTGTTTTACATTTCTATAGTAATAATGAGTCATTTCAGGTAAGAAAATGACAAAAAACGGAAAAAATAATACAATGGCGCCCATGATGAAAGGTAAAGGAAACTGGGTCACCAAATGCATAAGTCAATACCTGGCCTTTAAACCTAAACCATATTGTTGAATGTGTTGATGAGATGGGCTTAAGCGTCGCACAGCTGCAAATAAAATGTTGTCAAAACAAAGTAAATCAAATTACACTTGTTATCAGTACCAGATTCTATTTTGAAATGACAAAATTCTTCCTCGTCGTTCCACAAGTCTCTGGGAAAACTCTGGGAGAGCTCCTCACAGATAATCTCTGGTTTTTGTTTAGAAAAAAAAAAACAAAAAAAAAAAACGACTTTCTCCACGGTATTTCCATGCTGATTACTCTGTTGGCCTTCTGTCTCTGCAGGGTTTTGGCAGCGTCACTGCAGAACATTGGCTTGGGAACGAATACGTTTACCAGCTGACCAGTCAGAGGCAGTACGTCCTCCGTGTGGAACTGACCGACTGGGACGGACACCAGGCTTTCTCTCTTTACGATCGCTTTAAAATCGGCAGCGAGAAACAGAACTACAGGTAAAAACTGATCATAGAGCAAACCCTTGGCTTGGGGACCATCAGTGGCACCTGGTAGTAATAGAGTGCAAACCCTTGGCTTGGGGACCATCGGTGGCACCTGGTAGTAATATTATTATTGACTATAATTTTGTGTATTCATGCCCTGATTTTCATTCATCTTTTGTACTTTTTGTAGCCCCTTGAACGCCTTCATGTTTTCACAATCTTCACTGTTGTGACCATTACAGAAACTTTAAACCAAGGAGACCCCAGTTACCAAAACAGGCCAAAATAACAGTCTTTTTTATTTTTTATTACTCTCTAAATGTGTGTGTCAAATGCACGCAGTTAACTGATGTGATGGGTTCTAGGTCCAGAGTCCACTTTGAAGTGGAGTCACATCAGACCCACATGTTAAAGCCATACATACTACAGTATGTATGGCTTTAACATGAATATGCATGAATATGAAAATAACGTGTCTCACATATATAAGTGACGTCTGTGGTGAGATTTGGCTTGTTGCAAATTTCGCCGCAGACCCATAATAATTTTTTTTTTTTGTCATTGTCTCCTCCGTAGCAAACTTTTCCACTCACTTTGTGTGTGTGTGAAGCTTCATTGTTTTCTTTTGAGAGGAGCAGACGGGGAGGGGGTTAATGATAACAGGCCTCAAACTACAGTATGGCAGATGCTTGGCCTCACTTTGACGTGGAAAACTACTGCAAAAAAAAAATAAAAAAAGAATCCGCCCGCTGGTTTCTAAAGAAAGAGAGAGAGAGAGAGAGGAAGGGGGGGGGGCAGAGGAGGTCTGACATCTCTAATTTTGAAGTTTTCACTCTATGGTCAGCTCTCTCTGATAAGAAGTCCCTTTGGTCGGAAAACATCTTGGGATTACAAAATAAAGGAATGAGGAATTTTGTATCTTAAAAGCCTCTCACATCCATTCAGCATAGGTTTCAAGTGTTTCCTCACATCGGACGATCCATTAAGGTCGTTGCCGTGTCTAATTTTAGGGATCGTCTCGCGACGACAGCGGGTTTCACTTTACAATGTTTCCGACGCGACGGAATTTGTACCTGGAATGTTTTCTGCTGTGTGCACTCTGGAGGACGGAAGAAATGGATTTCAATCAGAGTGGAGGAGATGAGAGGTTTTTGTTTTGAGTTTCTCTCACTGCTGAGGTTTTGTTTGACCACAGTGTGAGGTTCAAACCAGATCCATCTGGGGTCGACTTCAGTCCTCATGACTCCCTCTGCACACCTCTACATCGGGAGGAAAATGATGGTATTAAACCAGGATTTACTGCCTCTACAAAAACTAAACACTTAAAGATAAAAACCACAAGTGTGCAACATTTCAATATATATATATCCGTGTGGAAAACACTGCTCTGAACTCCTCTGAATTAGATCAGGCATTTTTTTTAATGGTTAGTCCGATGTTTCGTCTGCACTTCAGAAACGACATTCCTCGTCTAAAAAGCGCCTTACGTTTAGAATTTAAATTTAAGAGTTGTGGCCTCTTATCCGTCTGTGCCTTTCAGGTTTATGCTCCTATTATTAACCTTTGGAACAGGGGTGTTGAATATACGGCCCGCGGGCCAAAACTGGCATCTAATTAGGCTGTATGTGGCCCCTGAACCAAAATTAGTTTGACACCCCTGTAACAGAAAAAAAAAGATCCTAAGAGATTTTATTAAGGGTTTGTCCAGGAGACAACACTAACCATCATTTAGACACAGTTTCACATTCTGATCCTGCCTGAGCCTCACACATACTTTCACTTATCCCACACTTAACCTTTTGTTCTCATAAATTAACCAAACTGTAATTGCTTCTGCCCCTGTGAGAATAACAAAGGGCATCCCCGGCCATCCCGGTCGCTCGCACTGCCGTCCAATCAACATGCTGACCCTCTATAAATAGATTGGTTCTTGAAAAAAAAAATAGCCCTGGAATAAACATCACAGATCTCTGCTCTGAAACAAGGTCCAAACCAAACAGCAGGGACCGGGTCCCCAAACAAACCGACGCTGCCACGCTTTTATGTTCTCCCTCGTATTTGGCCTCTCTCTGTGTTTTAAATGTCAGATAATCCGTGACTTGTTCAGATTGCAATTTTTTTTTCGCCCGCGAAACATGAGCGTCACGGTGAGTGATAGGGCTGGTGTTTGCGTTTGTTTTGGATTCTTTTCTCTCATCTGCGGTGGTTTACTGGAACACAGGCTACGTCAGCGCGAGTCGGACAAATGTTGACAAAGGGCTCACGTGATGCAGTTAATCTCGCACCATCACGTACGGCACACAAAATTTAAATGAATACTTTAAGTTCACTTCGGAGCTTCTATCCATCTCTATTCCCTCGGCCGTCTGGTGCTTTCTTTACCCAACTTCCTCGCACCTACGTCAACACATTATTGGGAATTAGATTATTGGTATTTTGAATAATATAAGGACTGTTTCTCTTCACCCTCAGGTCCCAGTTGCGATGTTTTTGTTTAAATTCTACAAATGCAAATTCCTCTGCAGACTACATCACGGTCTCCAAAGCTGTGTCTCGGTGTCTGCCAGAGGTGTCGTGGTTGTAAAAGAAGCAGAGCTGGACTACAAGGGTAGTTCAAGAAATATGATGTGTGTTTTCAGAGTCCCAGGAAAGCCATTAAAGCATTAAGAAATGATCAGTTTAATGGTACTGGGAAAACTTCATTATTTTGCTGCGTTTTTCTCATGTGTTTTCACTGCGCTGCAGGCCACTTTCAACAAAGCCGGCGCTGCTCCGCTGTCACGTCAGGGTCTTCACTGACAAGTCAAATTACAAGAGCCACAGTTTGACCAAAAATGAGACCTGCCAGTGTCAATCAAGCGATAAAAGGAATCTGATCTGTTTCCCGATTTCTGCAAGTACTGAATGTGGAAACAATATTATTAGTGGATCTGAAAACCAGATGATAAAACTTATTTCCCCAAAGTATGACAACAGTCCAGATTTTAGGTGGGATCCTTAATCAAATCTGATTGGTTGCTCGTGTGGAAATAATTTGCTGTGCACATTGGACCAGAGTCACCTGTTCCTGCTGTACTGATAAATACTGTGTATTATACGTGTTTATAATTGCATACACAAATCAATGTGGTTCTTATAAAACCAGAATTAGGCTGGCAACATGGCTACCACTTGTGAAACGCATTCAATAAACAAGTATGGAAATTAGGACCAAAAGTAGCATAACAATCTAAAAACAGCTTATAAAATGCAAAAGAAATATCTTAAAAAAATTGGAAATGTTAGTTAAGTACTGGACTTACACTTAACTTGGATCAAATAATAATAGACTTAGCATAACAATCTAAAAACAGCTTATAAAATGCAAAAAAAAAAAATCTTAAAAAAATTGGAAATGTTAGTTACAATAATCTGTTATTTACTTCCTATTTAAGATAGAATTACAAAAAAATCCTGAATGCCTCCATAAGATAAGATAACATTAACCCTACTTCAAGTTGTCAGATTTTTTCTCATCTAAACAAATTTGAGACTAGGGACAAAATTCTATGTTACATTTTATAAAGAATAAAAAATATTTACAGTATATTCATAAATGTTTTCAGATGACAAAAAAGAAAAATCCCCTTCCACTACCCAGGCCGCGCTCTGTGATGTGGTATCAAACGTATCAGAGTTTTATTGTAAACATATCAATCCTCCTGGCGGCTCCTTCAGGGTTAAGTCTGGTTTGACCCAGTAACCACTGAACCTCAGCATCATAATGTTGTGAAATTAGCCCCTTTTTCTTTTTACCTCTTATTGTGACTTGAGGTCACCATAATTGCAAGGGGGGGTGGCTGTTTGCTATCATCATCATCATCATCATCATCATCATCGTCATTATCATAATCATCACCACAGATGATTTGGCTGCTGTAATTCAGCTTGTTTGTTAGAGAGAGAGAAAAAAAATAGCGTAATGACCTGTAAATATTGTTGCAACAATAACCATCAGATTGAAACAGTCAGGTAATCACCCTCATTCATCAACGTTTCGAGGTTTTAACGTCGGGACCCTCAAAGTGAGGAGAGTTGCGAAAGCTCAGGCTCCAGAGACGTCCAGAGAAAAAAGAAAAAAAAAACTTCAACCTAATGAAAAATCTTAACTTATCTAAGAGCTGAGTCAGATTTGTGATAGAAAATAAGGAAAATTGCAGGATGATTGGGGTTGTGTAAGAAAAACAAACAATCGCGATGCTGACTTGCGCAAGTGCCGAAAAAAATATGCTGAAAATGAAGATTTTTTTATCTTCTTTATGATGACTTGTATTGACTTTGGCTTTAGAAATGAATTGGACACAAATGATCATCCTGTAGCTGAGCCAAAAAACACCAGCTGTACTTGCTGTGTACAGTACACTGTGATTATCTAAAAACATTGAAAGTAGTTGCAGATTTTTTTTTTTTCTGAGGCGAACCAAACTAAACTGGTAAAAACAATCATCATCTGCATAAAAGCAGATTTATAACCTGGAGTTACCTGGGAAAACCTGGGTTAGAAAATTTCAAATTTGTAAATCACGTATTGACATATTCCGGACCCTTGAGAACCATTACTTCAACAAAACAACCTAAAACAAAAATGAAGACTGAAACTAAATACATATATTCTGTTATTTAAACACAACCACAACATATTTATAAAATGTCGCCTTGTTCTGGAAAGCCAATTTCCTAAAAGCAGACTTTTTTTTTCTCTTTTCCAGTGTGTGGTAATAGACCCAGTTCCCAACAGAATCAGAAACATCCATTCTAGATGTTTTTCATGTGGGGATTTAGATTTAAGGAGAAAATTTGGCAAAGACGTTCGGTCCGGGACACGGTGACCTCTCACTTTCCCAATCCAGTTAATTTCCCAGTTAATCATTTATATCTCCAGTCATGTCTCCCTGCTCTTCACTGCTGATTCTTAAAAAAGATTAAAGTTTTCTTCAATTGAGACGTATTTTTTAAGTGTTATCTCTTCAACA